TCCATATACAGACGTGAGACGGTTGAGATGATCTCTCCAAACTTTACCTAGCCTTTAGGGTCTTATGGACTTGAAATGAAATGATGCTTTACTTCCAGTTTGCAAATGTACAGGTACATTGGAATGTTGCTTTTTGTATCTCCCATCATGCTCTCCTTTGCTGCATACACACACGGTTATACAGTTGAGAGCAAAGCTTGAGGTACCCTGGCTGGTGACAGGCTCCGCGTTTCATACAACCTTTTATTAGACAAACAGCTGCAGTCACATGGTGTCCTGGAACCAAGCTCAGGTAGGACAGGGAAGAAGGAAGTGGATATAATGCCAGGCCATCACATGACTTCCAGAAGATTACTCAAATGAAAAAAAATTGGCAGGTAAAACACTGCATTGTTTCCATAACTGAAAATGTTTCATAGACTTAAAAAAAAATATTTTTAATCATTTTATAGCAATCGGCATCTGCTGGTATAGTGATGGCTCCGCGTGACAGACCACAGCAACGGTACTAATCAGGTGCAGCAGATCCCGTTTCTGATCCTCATTGTTAGTAAGAGAATTGTTGTATGACTGAATAAGGGCAACAGCCCATTCCTCACAGTCAGTGACAACTTTGAGGAGATAGACATTTTCTTTCATTGCCTGAAGTGTGTTGCCTTGAGTCCAAATGGCAACTGGCTTGGATAAGAACTGAGTCTTGCCTTGACTTCTTTGAGTAGCAAGTCAAGCAGCTTCACCAACTGAAATGAATGAAGTTCTTATCCAACTGCCCATGAAACATTCTGACAACCGTGTAATTGTTTTGAACCATCAGAATTTAATACCATGTATTGAACAGCACATATAGCTTTGCAGGAAGCCTAATTTTGAACTTTTATTTTTCCCCGTATTATTGTGAGCCACCCTGCTACACTTGCATAGGCTGGTTTATGTAAGAGAGAGAATAATTTGTAGAAGGTAACAAGAAAAAGATGAGGAACAGGAAGCTTATTTATTCAGTTTAGTTATACATAAAAGCAACAAACTGACCGTTCGTCAAATGGAATTTCTGCTTCCTTCAAGTTCAGTGGAAGGTCAATTGACTTGTCACTCTTCATAGACAGACAGCTGGGTATAGGTGAGTCTGGTCTATCCTGCTGTATCCTACAAAACATAGCAACCTTGATTTATACAGCACCTTGCATCAGTATTCACCCCCTGAGACTTTTCCACATTTTTTCATGTTACAGCCTTGAATGAAAATGGATTTCACTGGGATTTTATGCATGGGACCCATAGAAAATACTCAATACACTCAGTGAGCACCCAGGCGGATTGGCGGAAATGAATCTGCAAGTAGTGAAAGGTCATGTGACTCTATCGCAATGATTATAATATCAGATCAAACAGACCAACGGAGTTGGCAGTATGAACCCACTGGTCCCATCGCTGGTCTACACGTGTACCAAATTGCATCCAAATCGCACCATTACTTCTGGATGCTTAACTTTTTTCCTCACCAAGTATAATTTTGTAGTGTGTATATATCACATTGTGTTCAAAATTACACAATGGCTAAGACAGGCGAGAATAAGGCAAGAACCGAGTACAACCACAGTTAAAGGCAACGGGATACACAGCACAACAAGCGATTACACTAACAAATACAAACAGGGGGTTTATACACGCGCTCGCGAGGCAAACAGGTGTTCCGGGCAATTCGGTTTCCCTATGTTTCCCCTGTCTATCAGGAAATAATGTTTCCCCTAATATTAAAGCAAAGAGGTATGTGAAATGTCTGAAAATCACTCAGGTACATTATTACATGTGAATACTGTATTGTTATTAGTACCGAGGCCCAGAGTTGTTGTATACCTGTTTTAACAAGGGGGAAACAAATACCCTGGATGTCAGGAAATAATGTTTCTCCTAATATTTAGGCAAATATGTATGTGAGATGTCTGAAAATCACTCAGGTACATTACATGTGAATACAGTAGATCGTTACGCATAATATAGTCTTATATAAGCAATACTATACCGTTTTCATCAAGAAATATCTCTATCCAGCGAATTAAATACTTTCATTTATTATCTGTAAAAACAAAAAACATTGAAAAGGCATGTGATGTTTTAAAATATATGGCTTGTTTACCTCAAGAGCTTCATAAAAAGACATGAAAACAACAGCGAAACTGTGTACAAATCAGCGCGTGACAGGGGAAACATAGGGAAACTGAATTGCCCGGAACAACCTTACATTCATGTAATAAATATACAAATGTCAATTAGATGGTAATCTACCGTAGACAAAGAAAAAGGGAAAAAAAATCGGTTATAATGATCATTCACTTACGTGTGTAGAGTGTTATGTAGAAACATTACTGAACAAATAGCAACATGAAGACTGAGGTGTTCTCAGAAGAGGTTAGGGATAAAGTTGTGGAGAATTACAAATGAAGGTTATACTTAGCATATAAAAAAAATCCAAATCCTTGAACATCAAACAAAGCACCATTAAATCTGTCGTTAGAAAATGGAAAGAATATGGCACAACAGCAAACCTGCAAGAGAGAAAACTGTCCAAATAAACTAATCGACCGGGCAAGGACAGCATTAGTCACATAAAGAATAGGCCAATGGTAACTCTGGAGCAGCTGGAAAGAACCATAGCTCAGAAGAGTGAATCTACTAGATGAACACTTCACAAAGCTGGGCTTTATAGAAGAGTAGGAAGATGAAAACTGTTACTGAAAGCAAGCCATAAAAAATCCCATCCAAAACCCAGACCTCAATCCAGTTGAGAATCTGTGGCTAGACTTGAAAGTTGCTGTTCACAAACAGTCTCAATCCATCTGACTGAGTGAGCTTCAGTTTCCTTTGCCAAGAAGAATTTTTTCAAAACGGCAGTTTCTAGATTTGCAAAGTTGACTTCATTATGGTTTGTGTCTTAGTAAAAAGTTTTTTATTGTAAATTCAAGGCTGTAGCAAAATGTGGAAAAGTCTCAGGAGGGTGAGTACTTAATCTAGGCAGCATGCAACACACTGTTCTACTGTTTGAAGCAAGGTGAATGAGCAATCATGCTTATCTAAGAGCAAGAAAAGGTTGTGGATGAAATTACGAAGGATGGAAAACTGGGAAGATTCTTACACTTTGGCTAAATTTAAAAGCATTAAGGAGCAGCGTGTGGCTCAGTCTGTGTGCCTGTAATCACAAGGTCACCAGTTCAAACCCAGCCTCAGCATGTCTGTGGGTCCTTGAGCAAGGCCCTAAACCCCCAGCTCCCTGGGTGCCCCAACAGGTGGCTGCCCTTCGTGGACAACTTACTCTACAAAGAACAAGTTAAGGGAGGTGTAAAGACAATTTTGTCCCCATGGGGACAATAAAGGATCGATTATTATTATTAAACTGACCTTTGATAAAAAGGAATATCTGCTTTTTTCAAGTTCAGTGGAAGGTCGATTGACCTGTCAGTCTTCATGGATACACAGCTGGATACAAGAGAGTCTGATCTCTTCTGCTGTAACCTATAAAATAACAGAGGAATCGATGTTTAATTTTTCATTTGTTTTATATATCCTCCAGTATATGGGTGTTATTACACTTATGACAAATAGTTGCTGAAGATGAAGAGCAAATATAGGAATAATAGAGAAACTAAATAAAGCAGTTCAATTAGATTAAAACCTTAAAAGGTATAAATGTCTTATTCCCTGGAGACCAGTGGAGGTTCCATTAACCTGTCACTCGTACAGGGGACACAGCTGGGTGTCAAAGAGTCTGACATCTTTTTCTGGATGCTGCTACCATGACAGGGACATTGACTTTTAATATAATGAAATTAAATACACACATGTGATCAGGCTAAACTATATGAAAGATACAAGAACAAGATACATTTTAATTAACTAAATATATGCATGGTCACTTAGGGAGCAGTATTTCTGCTTTCCAGCTCATACGTTGTACAACCCCAATTCCAAAAAAAGTTGGGACGTTGTGCAATGATATAGAAATCTCATAAACTCATATTTTATTCACAACAGAACATATAAAACATATCAAATGTTTAAAGTGAGACATTTTGCTATTTCATGAAAAATATTGGCTCATTTTGAATTTCATGACAGAAACACGTCTCAAAAAAGTTGGGATGGAGACAATAAGAGGCTGGAAAAGTTAGTGGTACAAAAACCCAACAGCTGGAGGAACAATTTGCAAATAATTAGGTCAATTGGCAACAGGTCAGTAACATGACTGGGTATAAAAAGAGCGTCTTAGAGTTGCAGTGTCTCTCAGAAGTATAGATGGGCAGAGGATCACCAATCCCCCAATTCTGCATCGACAAATAGTGGAGCAATTTCAGAAAAAGGTTCCTCAGTATAAAATTGCAAAGAGGTTGAAAATATCATCATCTACAGTGCATAATATAATCAAGAGATTCAGAGAATCTGGAGGAATCTCTGTGCGTAAGGTACAAGGCCAAAAAACCATATTGGTTGCCCGTGATCTTCGGGCCCTTAGGCAGCACTGCCTCACAAATAGGCATGATTCTGCAAAGGAAATCACTAAATGGGCTCAGGAATATTTCCAGAAAACATTGTCAGTGAACACAATTCGCCGTGCCATCCGAAGATGCCCATTAAAACTGTATCACTCAAAGAAGAAGCCGTATTTGAACATGATCCAGGTTCACTGACATCTTCTCTGGGCCAGTGCTCATTTAAAATGGACTAAGTGAAAAACTGTGGTCAGACGAATCTAAATTTGAACTTCTTCTTGTAAACCAGGGATGCTGTATCATCCGGACTAAAGAGGAGAAGGACCACCCAGCGTCTTATCTGTGCTCAGTTCAAAAGCCAGCATCTCTGATGGTATGGGGGTGCATTAGTACATATGGCATGGGCAGCTTGCATATCTGGAAAGGCACCATCAATGCTGAAAGGTATATCCAGGTTCTAGAGTAACATATGCTCCCATCTATACAATGTCTCTTTCAGGGAAGACCTTGCATTTTCCAACATGACAATGCCAAACCACACACTGCATCAATCACAACATAATGGATTCGTAGAAGAAGGGTCCGGGTACTGAACCGGCCTGCCAACGGCTCAGATCTTTCACCCATTGAGATCATTTGGCGCATCATAAAACAAAAATTATGACACAGAAGACCTAGGACAATTGAACAACTAGAATCCTGTATCAGGCAAGAATGGGACATTATTCCTCTCCCAAAACTTGAGCATATGATCTCCTCAGTCCCCAGACGTTTACAGACTGTTGATAAAAGAAAAGGTGATGCCACCCAGTGGTAAACATGGCCTTGTCCCAGCTTTTTTGAGACGTGTTGCTGCCATGACATTCAAAATTACCTTATTTTTTCCTTAAAATGATACATTTTCTCAGTTTAAACATTTGATTTGTTTTCTATGTTCTGTTATGAATAAAAAATGGGTTTATGAGATTTCCATATCATTGCATTCTGTTTTTATTTACAATTTGCACAACGTCCCAACTTTTTTGGAATTGGGATTGTATATTTTATTCCAGCTTGGTGTGTCTGTTTGCACATTTCATGTTTTCCTTGTGTTTATGTGTATTTTTCTGGCTGTGCTGGGTCCATATACAGACGTGAGACGGTTGAGATGATCTCTCCAAACTTTACCTAGCCTTTAGGGTCTTATGGACTTGAAATGAAATGATGCTTTACTTCCAGTTTGCAAATGTACAGGTACATTGGAATGTTGCTTTTTGTATCTCCCATCATGCTCTCCTTTGCTGCATACACACACAGTTATACAGTTGAGAGCAAAGCTTGAGGTACCCTGGCTGGTGACAGGCTCCGCGTTTCATACAACCTTTTATTAGACAAACAGCTGCAGTCACATGGTGTCCTGGAACCAAGCTCAGGTAGGACAGGGAAGAAGGAAGTGGATATAATGCCAGGCCATCACATGACTTCCAGAAGATTACTCAAATGAAAAAAAATTGGCAGGTAAAACACTGCATTGTTTCCATAACTGAAATTGTTTCATAGACACCGGAAATCTGAAAACTCATTTTAATTATACTTTATAAAAAAATCTAATTCTCAAACTTAAATGTAGATAAGTAAAAAAGATGCACTATATTTAAAAAATATTACATGCTGTAAATTGTCTGAAGGTTACAGTCAGGATTAATAGCTATTTGCTAAGGGGACAGAGCCATCAGGTCAAACTATTGGAGAAAGAAAAATAATCATGCAACTGATTGCTTTTAAAGGGACAATTTCCAGAAATTGAGCAATGACAACACCAGAAAGGCAGCTGATCAGTCTAGAGACCGAAAACAAATCTGAACTATACTTAACGTTAGAGAATAAAATTACACTTGTAACACTTGGTAGACTAGTCTGAACGCAATTAATTCAATGCAATTCTATCTGTATACTATAAGAAGATACTGTTTATGGTTCTCTCTATCTATATGTGGTCAAGAGGAATCAAAAGGCCATATTTAGGAATCAAAAGTCTAGCAGTGCTCAATCTGAGGGGAAAAAAACCTCAAACCTGAAAAACTATTTTAACACTTTGGCAAGATTGTTCTTGAAATCTTCATGCTAATAAACCTCTTGAACTGAATCGAAAATGGCTGTTTTTATTTCATTATCGTTGTACACTACGGACAGCTTAGTCGTAACACCGTGTCAGGAGTTTCTCAAGTCTGGCTAACACGTACAGGCTATGAATTACTTAGGCCTACAGGTTTCAAAATGGTTACAGTACTGTTAAGGTAAAATAAGACTGGATTCAGTGACTTACATGCACAGCTCGCTAATCGAAAAACAAGTACTATAAAAAAAGATTTACTTTATACCACGAAATCTCTGCTACATACGTCCATGAAAACAGGTCCAAACTCTCTGAAAATTAGTGGGAGACCATCTGCTGGCAATGTGGTACTAAGTAAAAGGTCAGTGTTACCTTTAACCCATTCAGGGGTACCCGGGCGCCCATACATCATGCAACAGATTTGTAAAATATCATAACACAATTTGCATTTCTCTGTACAAAATTTAGTTGGGGTGCAGAGCCAGCCCGATCTATTGGCGAGATTGGCGATCATACAACAAAGAAAATTATAAATAGTTAATAAATTATAAATCACCTCTTCATTTCTCCACCACTTTTCTTCCCAGAGAGACTAATTTCAGAGTCAGCGCTCCTCCTCGGCAGCGACAATACAATAAACCTATAATCAATATAAAAAACACAAACTTTAGCAACAAAGTTAAATAACACAAAATACCAAATGGAGAATAATTAAGCAAATCACAAGTTTCGTGCCCTCTTGTACTCTGTCATAAGTGTCAAGTTGTCCGCCGTTCAGCACTGTCTCTAAAGTTTGCATAGGTTTTTGTTGTCGATTGTGATTAGATGTCGACCAGCCAGGGAAAAATCGGCCGATTTTTAATCATTGTATAGCAGTCGGCATCTGCTGGTCTGTTGATTGTTCCACGTGACAGACCTGCGGTATGGAAGGAATTTGGGACTTAACGTCTACTTTGACGTCTGTCTTAACATGTCAAATTTTGACTTGGTTCACAGCATATTTAAATAAGCTTTCCACTCAAAGAAAATATCCATTTGTTACTAAAGAGCGAAGAACCATTGTATTAATATTATGCTGGTTCCATACGGTAATTGTTTAAATAATTAAAAATAACTTATGAGGTAATTCTTCCTTATAGTTTATCCCACTGTTTTCATCTATGTGACTGTAATATGTTGATTTAATAGTCATTCAAAATTACTTACTGTGTGATGTCTGTAGAAGTGTATTTCCAGTGTGTCCAGTACCTCATGCCCTGTGTGTCTATCCATCCACTCTCTGCCACCAGCTCCTTACTCCAGCATACTCAACAGACACTGTGTAACCGGTCCGCCAAGTTCCTGGAATTACAAACAAATGAGCAGTTTTTAGTCTCGTGCAAGGGATTCTACATTCCAGAGGAGCAGGTTGAGCCTGTAAACTACAGGGTCAGCTGTCATGTGACGTCGATGCAAGGCAGGAAAGCAGGCGCGAGAGTCCAGGAGTATAGGTAAAAACACGGGATTTCTTAGGGGCGAAACTCTCAGGGACACAGAACAGCTCGCTATGTTAAGACGCTAATGATCAGACTAGGGTTAGACTCACAAGAAAGCACTTGAATACACAGAATCAATTAGACAAGACTAGGTACAGCTGGTAACCAGGAGGATTCTACAGGAGGTAAACAAGGGGGCGTAGCACACAGGAGGAATTGCACGATCGGGACGTTACACAGCCAACCGTAATCACTCAGTGAGGTTTCTCTGTTTTTCTACAGCTACCCCATGCTGAGGACACGTGAGCTGACAATGCCTGGGGCAAATAATATTGATTGCCGTTTTGAGCTTCATTAAAGTTTACTGGTAGGTACCACTGTTTCCTACTACTCAGGAGAAGAGTGCATTCAGTACCCCCTGGTGAGGACTGGCAGTACACAGATTTCCCCTTTGGACTGCACGGGTCCCCTGCCACCTTCCACAGCTTTATGGATGAGATCCATAGACTCCATCCAGCCAATGCTGCTGCCTATTTAGATGTTGTGGTTGTCCATTTGGGGCACCTTAGAAGGCTCCAGAACATGTTAGATGACCTGCAGGTAGCTGGTCTCACCATCAACTAAAGTTCCACCTGCTTCTCCCCGAAACCCATTGCCTCCTCAGACCTCAAAAAAGGTGATTTGGAGCCCTGTCACTGAGAATGGCTTCCAGATCCTGAAGACCAACCTCATAACTCATCCCCCAAGTTTGACCAGTATTTCATTGTGCAGACGGAGTTCAGCTGAGTAGAATACTCAATGATGTACTTAAGTTGGATGGGATGCTGCAGTAGAGAAGAAAGCCGTGTCCTCCTTCCATGTGCTTGGCTGAGGAGCCAATGGTGCGACGCTACCATCTGTGGGCTTATGACTGAACGGCAAAATTACTTGATCACCAGTATGCATAAATATTTTCTTTCATTTCTGCAAAGATTAATACCTGAATATTACTGCTATACTGATGAAAATGTGAAAGCAAATATAGCTGATTAACAACTAGAGTATCGAAATCCAGCTTGTTTTCAGAAAAAGTTATATATGGTTTTCCTATCCACGCATTGCTCAAGGTTTCTGATTTTTGTTGATTTTGTTGATTGTTGTAAGTAGTCTTTGTTTCAAAAGAGCAAGTCGGAGAAGGTAGGATGTCAGAATGAATCACTGTAAGATTTGCAAATATAATAAAACTGAGAATTTCCTTTGTGATGTTGATGAAGTGTTGTGGTAATCCAGTTTGGTTACAGTCTGTACTGGTTTGGGTGGCAGAGGCGGTGTGGGAGAGGTGGTCAGAGAGCGACATTATTTCGTCGCCATCCGCCATGGCAGCCTGGGATAGAATGCTGTTGGGGTAATTAAGTTGACGCACGTGGTGAGGTATAGAACTCTCGGGGGGGTGACTACAGCCTAGAGGCTGGGAACATGGTGGGACACAGTCGCATTCTGACGGCGTCCATTAGGAACAGTGTAATTGTCCTGTTCATAGACAGTGTGGACAAGGCAAACAAGCTGATGTGCAAGAGTGCGGTGGTAAATGGAACGTCAGGTCGGTCCTTCCACTAGGGACAGTGACACCAGAAAAAGTCACCATTTCCAAAATGCCCCTGTTTGGTAAAGATGAGCTGCTACAGCGCGATTTAGGAAAATCGAATTGGGAATAAAAAAAGTACTGCTGGGATTTAAGTCGTGCCTCCTTAAAGGTGTTGTCATTCAGATGGTGTGTTTACGTAGTGCAGTTACATAGTGCAGACTGAAGGTTTTCTGAAGGTTGCTCTTCCCATAAATAACAGATATTTATGTAAGCTTTCAGCCCAATGACACTATCTGTGTATTATTACTACAGTATAAAGAACTGTCGTATTAATAAGATGCTGGGTCCTTTTGATATTCGAAAGGTATTTGCAGTTGAACTACAAAAATAACTTCCAGATGAGATAATCCTTATTGCTTATCTCACTATTTCCAAGACAATATGTGACTTATAATGTCGATTTAACAGTCACCAATAATTATTAACTGTGTGTTTAGTCGATTCTTTCTGAATTTCATACTAGGTCACTAAAATGGCTGTTTCCACTGAGAATAAAATCTTTACTTTCATTTTCAGCTTTGAGTTTCCTGTTTGTAACTTATGCAAATGATATGGGGTGAGAATTACACAAGTCTTTGTTAACAAAAATGTATACCATTTAGGCTTATTTACATTTTGTCAGGGTCAGCCCCTGTTGTCCTACTCTGTGTCCCTTCCCCGTTTGGCCAGCAGGCGGTGCTGGTCATCCCATTCTTTGTGTTAGTCCTTGTTCTCCTCTGTTACCTGTTTGGTCATGTGGTTCAATGTGTTGAACATTGAGTTGTGTGTGCCCTTCTGTCCTGTGTTTGAATCCCACCTCCTCTGTCTTTATATTTTGCTCCCTAGTGTTTCATTTGAGTTTTTCTAGTTCTTGTATCTGGTGATGTTGTATTTGGTTTTTGGTTCCTTTGAGTTCATTAGTTTCACCTGTGCCCTGTTTCCTTGGTCTTTGTTAATTAGCCTCACCCGTCCTGTGTTAGTCTCGCTACCCCTTAGTATTTTAGTTCCTACTTCTGTTCAGTTCCCCAGTGGTTCATTGTTGTTGCTTGTCTAAGCTTTGTTAGTTTGGTTAGATCTGTATTCTGTTTACCTTCCCAGTTTTTGTTTTTTTGTGTGATATTAAGTCTTTAATTATCCCCTTTAGTTTGTGACCCTCGTGGTCCTTTTGGTTTTGTGTTTGTAGTGTTTTCTGTTTTATTTAATAAACCCCTTTCTGTTCCTGGAGCCGCTAGTGGGTCATCCGCCCTTTTTTGTGCACCATGCCTCGTTCTCATGTCCGAGCCGCCCGGATCCGTGACACATTTACATTTATTTAGTAGGATTAACTGTAGTTATGCTGAGCTTTCAATGCAAAAAGTAACCGAAAAAGTTCACATAGATATTAGAAATGGTAACATATAAGAAACAATTGTAGCAGAGAGGTTATATGGCAATTTATTATATTCTTTTTTCTTCCATTCTTAGGACATAACAGCGATAATGCACAGTATTCAGCACCTCATCACTCCCAATAAGCTTGGAATCACCAGCAGCTCATATCTCACTGACTGACAAGTAAGGAAAAAGTTTTGTATGTATTTTGTTCAGACCCAGGATTGCGAAGGTTTGACTCAATACCAGATCACACTAGGAAGCAGTGGAGGTTTCTTTAAGATGACAGGTGCAACAGTTTCACCAAAAAAGAGGAAAAAAGTAACATTTATGTCACATAAGAATATCTTTTTAATGCCAGTGTATCATCACAACAAGCATTTCCATGGGAAACCAAGAAAGTTCACAAAATGTCTCTGACAAAGTATTGTACAGTACTTCAGTGAAGCAAAACATTTTCTGCCTCAGTAAGCTAAGAGACTTCAAAGTTTTTCTCATGAACTATACTCTTCTGACATAACCTAATTCTCAAGACATGATGTTGCAATGAAAAAAAATATCATGCGTCAAGGGATATCATGTTTTTATATACCCATCAAAGGATGAGGGAACTATAAAAAAAACCACACACATTTAACATTTTTTTTTCTGACCGAGGTTGTGACGTCGAAGGCAAGGATGGAGGCAAAGTCAGGCGTGGGGGAAAACCAAAAGGGGTTTTATTAAAACTACAGGCAGGGCAAAGGAAACTAACGAAGACGGGTCGAAACGGGGTAGGGAGGATCAGGCAATAACACTAGACACACTGGGGAGCACGCGCGCACTGGGGATCGCAGGACTGAAGGACGCTCGGTGCAGGGCGCGTGAGGGTGCAGACGAGAGTCACCTGCTGATCCACACGAAGGCTGTAAGGAGAGGTAAGATTAAACAAGCAACAGGGAGAGAACGAGGGGGAAGGGATGCAGCATGTGACAGGTAACCCGCCGATAACTGAAACCATGGATACAAGGCCATCCCAATTAGAAGCTGACAGGAAAGTCAGGTACAAGTTTAACCCTCATCAACCAGCTAACTCAGTCAGCTCTTCAAGTTACGTATACTATACGTTGCTAAAAAGCTTGCAGTTTTCTATGAATGTTTCAATTAAATTAACGTCATATAATGATAGTGATTTGAGACCCGAGATATAACGTTATTTTTTTCCATTCAGACATGGCTTGTAACACTGGAAGTTTTTTTTGTGTATGTGTGTGTGTGTGTGTCAGAGAGAGAGAGAGAGAGAGAAAGAAAATATGACAACGTTGAAACATTTAGCTTAATCCATATATAATTTAATAGGCTAAGACGTTTGCTAAATAATTTCAGTACAACAAAGTTGTAATAGACCTCTATCAGTTAGAAAATAAACCCTATTAACGAAATAGGCGCCCTATCCTCTTATTTTTGTACGAGGTGTGCAAACAGGACATTCATCGATGAGGTATAGGCTACTGTTATGTATAAAATTTTAAAAGGTAGCCCTGTACTTGCCAGCAAAAGATTAAGTCAATAAAATTAACTGTAAACTATGAAGATCCATTGTCAATTATACTACTCTGTCGTTTTACAAGACCTTTATCCTATAGAGTTTTCTCAAACAAAACATTTTACCATGGGTATATACAAACGAGTCTTTCCACGGACACGTTTGTCCATGTATGTACAGGCTGACGATCGCTGCTCTTAGAGTTTTTACATGGAATCTAACCGTTGTTAGTACTGTATATTCATTTCTACATTGCGTCGATCCCCGTTATAAATCCGTAGATAATAATATGGGGGGAAAGCGAAACTGAAAGTTTACTGAACGTGAACTTCTTTCTCACATGCGTTTACGTGAGTATAGAAAAATACGATTAACTTATCCTAGCAGTAGAAAAGTCGTACTGTATGTTTTAATGAGTAAAGTAGCAAAATATAAGTTTACCAGTTTAATGTTTACATTAGGTGTAGCTGTCGCGTGTAGTTTTATCGGGAAAGTTGCGCTTCGGCATTTCATGTAGATGTACGATTTGAACTTCGGACAGGACACTACTTTAACCAAGGGTAAGCCTTTGTTTTGAAAGTTTCGTTGTAATTTCTTTGATTGTTTTCCATAGTTATCCAATGTGATAGTCAAGAAACAGAATGTAAAAGTACTTTGTCGAAAAGGAACTTATACAGACATTTATTTATGGTTTCATTTCATCATCAAATGTTTACTAAGTCGTTCTTGTAATATGAAGATACCTTAGGATACCGATTCTAATGTCTCATTGCCAAAAGAAAGTACAAATGTGTGTATTTGTACTACTGTTTATTTCTTTCACGTGCTCTCTGAATCTAACGACTGCAAATATGTAACAGATATTGATCCATGCCACAATTTTCACCTCACACTAGCCAACTCCAGTCTAGTTATCTCGAGATCCATGCCACAGTGCTCACCTGTGCACATTCACCTCCCAGCTTTACAGAATTGTAAGACAATGTTTCAGTTATAACTGCTAAGCTATGATTGGGCAATTATTTTCTTGTTATAACACCTGCTAGGTCAGTGTTGGTACTAAGCGTCACTGGTTGTTTGAGTGTGTGATACATGAGTCTGCTTTCACTTTTGTTCCTGGGCTTTTGCCTGTATTTGACATGTTTTTGCCTGCTGGATTTGGATGTGCACCTCTTTTTGGATAATGGACTTCTTTCTCTTTTAACCTCCTTCTGAACTGTGACTTCTTATGACTGGCCTCAGCCTGCTCTGACCACGATGAATTATTGCTTGACCCTATTAATCTGTCCACCCTGACTTGCTAGTGAGGTCTGTTGTTGAGCCCAACCTTTGCTGTTTCTGGTCCTATGAGTATGACCTCTGCCAGTATGGACCCAGCAGACTTCAGCCACCTTAAATTTGCCTTGGAGACAAGGAACCTGCTTGGAA